CGGCGGCGGCGGAGGCGGAGGCGGAGCGTGAAGCACGACGGCCACGCGGTCGACGGCGCCATCGGCGATCTGGGCGGCCACGGCATCGACGGCGTCGCGGACCCAGGCGCAGACGACCGGGTGGCGGTTCTGCTGGACGGGCAGGTTGAAGGCCCTGGCGGACAGGAAGGTGCGCGCTGGGTAGATGCCGCGGTAGTAGAGGATGTTGTGGACCGCCACCGTCAGAAAGGAGTCGAAGGACCGCAGCAGGGTGTGCGCGTACGGGAGCGGGATGACCGAGGGGTCCTCTCCTCCTGGCGGTTGTAGCCCGCCCGCCGGCAGACGCACCGACATGTTGTCTTTTCTTTCTTTTTCTTCCTTTTTCTTTTTTATTCTCCACTGGTGGCTTCCCGGATCTTCTTGTTTAGGTAAAGACTGAGATGGCAATCTGCGTTGCCTTGCCGGGGCTGAGGACCAGGGTGCTTTCACCGGGTTCGGAAGCTTGCCGGACCAAACATTTGCCTTTGTCGTTTGCTGACGCGACGCGTGCCATTGGTGGCACGAAAACACGTGCGGCTTTTAGGTGCTGCGCGGGGTTCATGTTTCAACAGCTCGAGCACCGCAGCCAAGGTCAAAGTCCCCACTGTCGCGGGGGTTTATCCACCAGTGTCGCATCATCGGGAGCGGGCAAGTGCCATTGATTGATTGACCCTGGGGCCCCCTTAAACCATGGGCAGGTGTCTCCATGCCGCCTCCTCCCTCAAGCCCTAAACTCGCAGCCCGCTTGTCGTGTTTTTGCCCATCTGGTCATCGCACCTACCCGCCTGATTCCCCAACACACCAGCACCCCGCCATTGGGCCGCTAGCACAAGTCGTTGGCGCTTGTTGGCTGCGTGAGAGCTTGTCCGCATACCGCTCTTTTGGCCTGGAACCCTGGCGATCAGTTTGCCGGCACTTGGCTCTTTTTGGTCCTCGCCACCGATTTTCGAGTGCCGTCTACTTTATTAACTATACCCCCCTCCCACTGATCCCAAGCGTGCGTGCGTGCATTCACGACGCTTCCGCGGGCTAGGCAACCCACCTTTTTATTTTTATTTTTTTTATCCTTGTGTTATTTTTCCTCGTGTTTTATTCCCCTTCCTCTCTGTCGTCATTTCTTTTAAACCCCCCGAGAACGGTGCCCGCACCGAAGCAGCCTTTCGCCATGGAGGAACAGCTGATTGTGCTGCTAGCCAACACCCTCGCCACCGACGACGTGCGGAAGCAGGCCGAGGTCGGGCTCAAGCAGGCCGAGGCGAATCCCGCCTTCCCGCTGTCGCTGGCAAACATCGCCGCCCACACGTCGGTCGACGGCGGAGTCCGCATCGGCGCCCTCCTGACCCTGCGCCGCTTTATCGCACGGAACTGGACCGAGGACGCAGACGACGAGGAGGACGACTCCCCCCGCGTCCCCGTGCCCGACCACGTCAAGGACCAGCTGCGCCCCAAGCTGCTCGAGCTCGCCATCAGCGACGAGGACGACACCAAAATAAAATCCAGCGTTAGGTACGCGTGGGCCAGGGCTCCGCGGGCGCCCGCCTGCTGATTTCCGGGAACTCTACTGACGGCAGCCCCGCCCCCGCCGGCCTCTCCATGTAGTTACGCCGTGAGCAAGATCGCAAACGTCGACTTCCCCGAACGATGGCCCCAGTTGGTCCCGACGCTCCTCAGCGTCATGCCTAATGGCACCGACAACCAGCTCCACGGCGCCCTCAAGGTCCTTAGCGAGTTCGTCGAGGAGAACCTGAGCGAGGACCAGTTCTTCTCTATGGCCAGGGACATCGTCAGCGCTGTCTACCAGGTCGCCCTCAGTGAGGAGCGCAAAGGCCTCCTGCGCGCCTTTGCCGTCTCGGTGTTCCGGTCGTGCTTCGACCTCCTGGATATGGTCAAGGACGATCACCCGAAAGAAGTCAAGGGCTTCGCCGAGGAGGCGCTCAGCGGCTGGCTGCCCTTCTTCCAGCAGGTCCTGAAGTCGCCCCTGCCCGAGAGCGCGCCGACCCCGGCCGGGGCGCAGCCTGACGCATGGAACGGGCCGGTTGCGCTCAAGCTGCAGGTCGTCAAGACGCTTCTTAAGATCAAGGGCGTCTTCCCATCGCTGCTGCTGCCTCATAGCATCACCTTCTTCCAGTTGGTGTGGGAGGAGCTCTCTAGGCTGGAGGCGCCATACGCAATACAGTACCTCGAGAGTGACACCCAGGGCCGCCTCCAGAACGCAGACAACATTCCTTATACTCTCGACTGGCTCGTGCTCGAGGAGCTGGACTTCCTCAACCACTCCCTGCGTGCGGCCCCGGTCCAGAAGGAGCTCGAGGCCCACAACACCCCCTGGGTCCTTGATATGATCAAGCTGATCGTCTCCTTTTCGCGCATCACCAGGGAGGAGGAGGAGCTGTGGGATATTGACGTGTCACTGTACCTCGCCGAGGAGGGTTCCATAACGGCGAACTACACGGCGAGGACCGCGTGCGGTGACTTTCTCATTAAGCTTGGAGAATGGCTCGTCCTGCGCTCCGTCGAGGCACTCTTCACATACACCAAGACGCTGTTCGCAAGCGAGGGCAGCGACTGGCGCACACAGGAGGCATCACTCTATCTGTTCACCATGCTGGCCACGGACCTGCATGAATGCGAAAAGGAAATTCCCGCCGAGGTTGCACAGGGATATCTGGAGCTGGTCAAATTTGCCATTGGTCGGACCGAGCAGCCGCTCCTCCAGGCCCGTGGCTACCTGGTCGCGGGCACTATAGCAAAGGGCTTCGCCCCCGCTCTTGTTCTGCTCGACCAGACCGTCGCCGCCATCACATCGGACCCCTCAGACCTCGTCAACGTCGCGTGCATCAAGGCGGTCGAGAACTTTGTCAAGTCTGAATCGGTTCCGGCCGACCGCCAGGTCCACATTCTCAAGGCCGTCGAGACGTTCCTCAACGGCAAGGATCTGCAAGAGCTCGAGGATGCCGATGACCTGCTCGTGACCCTGACCGAGTCTCTCCGCGCCGCCATTGGAATCAATCGGAGAGTGGTGTTGGCCCCTGATGTCAAGTCCCTGGACCTGCTGTTCCTCCTGGCCCAGCACGGCGCTCAGAACTACCAGGTTACGATGCTGGTGAACGAGGTCTTTGAGGAGATCGTCCAGTACCTGGCCACCGATTCGGCCACGTATGCGACACTGTGCACCCGGGTTCTGCCAACCCTCACGGGCGCCTTCAACTACGCCGACGTAACGCAGAATGAACCGCTGATAACAGTGAGCTGAGAGCGCCTGTCTTGTCGTATATTTATGTTGACTTTACAGCTTGCTGACTCTCGAACTCGTCACCCTTTCTTAGCTTGCCGCCGAGCTCGTCGCAGTTCTGCTCCAGTCTGGAGTCGAGCCTCTGCCCGCCGGCATCGTCGCCCAGCTCCTTCCTAAGCTTAGCAGGATTCTGATGGAGTCTACCGAAGGAGAGATCCTCAGACCAGGAGCTGAAGCGGTGAAGTATATGGTTATGCATGACCATCATCAGGTGTTTGGTTGGCACGACGAGCAGGGCAAGTCTGGCCTGGAAGTCTGCCTATACATCATCGATCGCCTGCTCGGCCCCTCCATCGAGGACAACGCCGCGTCCGAGGTCGGCGGTCTGGCGGCCGAGCTTGTCGAGAAGGCGGGCCAGGAGCGCCTTGGCCCCTACCTTCTGAAGCTGCTGCAGGCTGTTGCGACGCGTCTGGCCTCCGCCACGGCCGCTTCCTTCATCCAGTCTCTAATCCTCGTCTTCGCGCGTCTCTCGCTCTCTGGCGCCGCCGACGTTGTTCAGTTCCTTAGTGGAATCGAGATCGACGGACAGAACGGCCTGCAGGTGGTCATGAGCAAGTGGTTGGAAAACTCTACCTTCTTCGCCGGCTTCGACGAGATCAGGCAAAAGTGAGATCGGAGCCCCCGTACCAGATTCACCTTGCAAGACTGTCCAGGGCGTTTATACTGACCATCTCCGCAGCGTCATCGCGCTCTCGAAGCTCTATTCCCTCAACGATGCCAGATTAGCACAGTGCACTGTCAAGGGCGACCTGATTGTCGATCAGACTAGCGACAAGATCCTGACGCGGTCCCGAGCCAGGCAACGTAGGGCATCGCCACAACCACCATTTTTGGCAATATGCACGCCGATATGTTTGCGTTTCTGACTTTGTGGCACTTTTGTTCAGTTCCCGACAAGTATACGTTTATCCCGGCGCCGCTCAAGATTCTCAAGGTTCTCATCGACGAGCTCCTATTCGCTTCAGGCAAGCAGGCCGCGGCAATGGCTGCCGCTGATGCCGCCAAGATGGCAGAACTTGACGAGGATGAGGGTGACGACGGCTGGGAGGACGAGCCCGGCGTGCTGGACCTCAGCCTAGGAACCACCAAGAACGACCTCATGTCGTACTTTGAGGGCGGCGGCAACCGTGTGCGAGACGACGAGACGCAACAATACCTGACGGAATTCTTCCTCCAAGCGGCACGGGAGAACACTGCCGGCTTTACCGAATGGTACGCGCAGCTTACCGAGGAGGAGAAAGGCAAACTCAACGAGATCGCGGCGCAATAGGTTAGCGACCAAGCTCGGGCTCGGGCGCAGAGCAACGCCGGCCCAAGCATCCACGTTACCCAGCACTGAGGCGCATCATGCCGCCCTGCTGGGCGTGTCGGAATCAAGGCCTCGCAGCTATGAATCGGGCCCTCTTGACGCAAGCCCAGCTGAGAGGGGCTACCCCTTGTGGAGTGTGCATTATAATGCCAGCTGCGAGCCTCGCAGCTAGATTGTTGCTTGATAAGGCGGGAAGATGAGAGATGATCACGGACATGGCGGGACAAGCCACCTAGCCTCCGGCCTACCCCAATAACCTCCCCAGTCACTACCTAGCCAGTGTCGGCTACTCTGCTGGAGGTTGATATATAGAAGATGGGCCCTGGTTCTGAACATTGTTGACGTAAAGTCGAAACATCCCCGAGATATCACATCAATCATCCACTCCCCATCTAACTGTCACCCAGTGGGTAATACATGTTACCAGTGTGTACTTCATTAACCTTTTGGCCCGGTAGGGGGCGTGTAGTCTATCTGGTTCTTCCGCATGATGTTGTCACAGGGGCAGGAAGAGAGACTGGACAAAACTTTTAGCGGGGACAACGCAGCCGACAGGCCGGTGGGTTAAGTAGCGGATAGGCTAGGGTAACGGTCTTGATAGCCTGGCTGCTCGGATTCACAGTGGTTAGCGACGAAGAGGAAATAATGGGAAGACCATAACCATGATCTCATGACTACGACGCGGAAGTCCGAGGCAACGCTTTATGGTATTTATAATGAGTAATTGAGCTATCAGACCGGATACCTCCGTCCTCACGCCACATGACAAGGTCGAGATGGGGGGATGTCGGGAGCAGGTTTACAGCCGACTGGGCATCCTCGCGGCGCCGTCCAACCTGACGACAACGCCGTTGAGCATCGAGTTTTCGATGATGTGCCTCACGAGACCGGCGAACTCTTCGGGCCTGCCGCCCCTCTTGGGGAACTCCATGGCGCGCTCGAGCCCCTTGCGGACCTTGTCCGACATCTGGGCGGTCATGGCGGTCTCGAAGACGCCCGGGGCGACGACGGCGACGCGGACGCCGTGGCGGGACAGGTCGCGGGCCATGGGCAGGGCGGCCGAGGCGACGGCGCCCTTGGAGGCGGCGTAGGCGACCTGGCCCATCTGGCCGTCGAAGGCGGCGGCCGACGAGACCATGACGACGACGCCGCGCTCGCCGTCGGGGTCGGGGTCGGGGCCGCTGCCGCCATCCCCGCTGGCTGCTTGCGGAGGCGACGACGAGGTCAGGTGCGGGAGGACCTGGCGGACCAGGTCGACGGTGCCGCGGAGGTTGATGGCGACGACGGCGTCGAAGGTGTCGAGCGACAGGGGGTTGCTTTTGCCGTCGATGATCTGAGGGCAGGTGTTAGTGTGGATTGTTGGCTGGGTTCCCGCGGGATAGGTGAGGGAGGCAAGAGGGTATTCAAATTACCAGACCTGGGAAGCCGACGCCGGCGGCGGGGATGACGCCGCCCAGGGGTTTTGCCGCCTCGGCGGCCCACGCGACGGAGCCGGCCACGGCGGCGGCGATGGAGTCGGAGTCGGTCACGTCGACCTCGAAGAAGTGGGCCCTCTCGGGGCCGAGCTCCCGCACGAGGGCGGCGCCGTTGTCGGCGTTCAGGTCCAGCACGGCGACGTTGGCGCCGTGGGTGGCCAGGTCGACGGCGCAGGCGCGTCCCAGGCCCGAGGCGCTGTCATCTTGCAGGGCGTCGTCAGCGTGCGGTCTGTTGGGCATGTGATTCCGGCTCTGAGGGCCGTGCTACAAGTGTGGACTTACCCGCCTGATATGACGAATGTGCGACCTTGGATTTTCATGGTTTCGGGTGTTCAATTTACGGTTTCCTTCTTTTTTTTTTTTTTTGCTGACCAAAAATATGAAAGCGACAGCAAGTATGATGTAATGCAGTTATTTACATGGCCGCTTTAGGAGGATGAGAGATGACTACGGCAAAGTGAGGCAGGCGGGTTCAGGATCGCCTGTGCCTCGGCTCAAGCTAAATTAGGTCAGTCCGTTTTGGACCATGGTCGCTAACGCAAAGCGTCGGCAGCGCGCACATGCCAGGTCCCGTTGGGCAGCCAGGCAGCGCAGCCAGCCGACTCACAGCACCCCTCGATTGGCCTGGGGCCGTGCTGCTAGAGCAGTGCATGCGGTGTGTGCTCATGCTGCCCGCTTTGAGTGACTGCAGATTTGAACGCCAAGCGTTAGCGGGGGGTTGAGTGAATGGCCCTGGAATGGAGACCACTGTGGGTTGGTGACGCCCGCAAACGCGCGCCAGTCATCAATCACAAACCCGCCCCCATGATATCAAACGACAAAGCTAGGGCCGGGGCGCAGCAGGCATTGAGACGAGAGCGCCAATAATCTCCAATCTTCGCACCGACAACATAATCCAACCAACCAACTCCAAGCCCCGGCCTGCCAGAGCTTTGGCGTGTTTGCGATCACCACCTCCACTCCGACCGCTACTGAGTCGTACTGGGAACTTTTTTTTTGTGCTTATCTTTTAGTCCTTTTCCTCCGCACATATTCAAACAACCCAACTCACTGGCGCGTGTCCGGGGCCATTCAACACCGCCACCGAGGGGAAGAGAGCAACCAACCTAACCAATGCGTCGATAGTGCCACACCTACCTTTACCTTCTCCCTTCCGGACGCCCCTCGAGTCCAAGAAACCGACAGCCAAACACAAAGCCACCATGACGCGGCCGAGGCGCTCCTCCGCCGCGAGCGAGGACAGTACCTCGACGGCACGCGACCAAGTGAGATTTCCTCCTCCTCGCCGCCCGTGAGAACGAACCTGCCCGCCTGCGCCCCTCGGGACTGACCCATTTTGGCTGCCTTGCTTGTAGGAACTTGGGAGTATGTACGACTATCTGGCCAAGATCATCCTTCTCGGTCCCAGCGGGTCTGGAAAGTGAGTCGCCTCCCGATAAGCCCCTCCGCCTGTGTCACCGTCTGCGTGCCGTCTCGGCCATCCCAGACCCCCCGCCATCCGCCCCGCCCCGCCCCCGACTCGGCCGTGCCAGAACTTCTCAGTCAGCCCGAGTGCTAACAACATCTTCCTCCCCTCCAAGATCCTGCGTCCTGCACCGCTTCGTTAAGAGCGAGTGGCGCATCCTGTCGTCGCAGACCATCGGTGTCGAGTTCGCGTCCAAGATAATCAAGGTCGGCACGGGCGCCCGGCGCAAGCGGATAAAGCTGCAGCTCTGGGACACGGCCGGCACGGAGCGGTTCCGGTCCGTGTCCAGATCCTACTACCGCGGCGCGGCCGGCGCCGTGCTCGTCTACGATATCACCTCCCACAACACCTTCTCGGCCCTCCCCGCCTTCCTCAACGACGCCCGCGCCCTCGCCTCCCCCAACTTGACACTCCTCCTGGCCGGCAACAAGCTGGACCTGACCCAGGACGGGCCCTCGACCTCGACCAACGACCTCCTGATGGACGGCCACGGCACGCCCTACTCGGACTACTCGATGCACCCGCCGCCCACGCCGTCGTCGCTGTCGTCGTCGCACGTGTCGGCCTCGTTCGCCTCGTCGTCGGTCGCGGCCGGGCTAGGGTCGCAGCTCCGCGCCTCGGTGGCGCCCGAGGGCCGCGAGGTGACGCCGGCCGAGGCGAACCGCTGGGCCAGCGCGGCGGGGATCCCGGTCGCCGTCGAGGTGTCGGCCCTGACCGGCGAGGGCGTCGACGACGTGTTTGGGCGCCTGGCCCGCATGATCCTGACCAAGATCGAGCTCGGCGAGATCGACCCGGACGACCCCATGAGCGGCATCCAGTACGGCGACGCGGGGCCGTCGTGGGGCGGCGGCGGCGGCGGGAGCGACGTGGCCTCGATAAAGAGCTCCATGACGGTCGACGACCTGGGTGCCGGCGGCACCAGGAGACGAAGGGGTGCCGGCGGCAGGAACCGCAAGAGCGGCATGGCACTGCGTGAGTGGGAGGAGGTCTTTACGCTCAGCAGAGGCCGGAGAGGATCGGGGTGCTGTTAACCGATTCATTCCCCCGCGCCCTAACTGAATCTTTGGTGGTTATTTTTTTGTCCGGCTCTCTTTTCCCCTTTTTTTTCTCCTTCTCCCTCTGTGTGTCTCCTTCCCCGCCATTCGCTTGCTTTGCGTGCTTGCTCCTCGTTTGTTCGATCTTCTTTCTGGATGTGATACCTCGGGCCTGTATCAGTGACCTCTGATACAGGACCTTCATTTGCATTTCCCCCTTTCCTGCCTTTTCACCCATATACCTTGCTGCTCTTTAGTTCCTGGCCATATACATATGCATATTCATGTCGCCGTCGACACCAGTGTCTTGCGGTATTTTAGCATCAGTCGCATCATCATGTCTTTGTTCGTCACTTACTCCATTTCGGACATCATATCAGTTTCTCAAGCGAATCCGGACGACGTTAACCGTTGAATTGACTTAAATGATGGAATTTGACGTGTAACAAGTCGTATGGGACAGGACACGCGGCTACACCCTCACGAGCACATCAGAATCCCGATAAGATTTGTTTGCGACGACCGACTTTATTACCATGTCGGCAGTTTTGCTCACATGCGATGATGTATGCCGAGCCAAACATACAGAAGTCGATGCTTATTGCGCAACGGAGCTGTCTCGTCCGCTGGAGGACATGCTCCTTCCGTGGTTGGCGGAAGAGGCCACCCCCAAGGGAAATTCATGACGCGCCCAAAGGACCCACCCACGTGGCATCCCGCACCGCCTCTGCAAGGGGCAAAGACTACCGAAGACATCAGTTAAGCCTGTTTGGGATTTCAATAAGCGACTGCTTTTAAAGGCGTGATGTCAGTGAGCCGGAGCTTCAATATCGACCGTACAAACTGCCTAGGGATTCCATGCTTGAGCACAGCAGGATCCCCACCTGGGGCTCCATCATCCCACACCCAACCCCCGCATTATAGCGAGGCTCCCCTCATCCCCACGACATCCATTATAGTGGGGTACCTTCCACCTCCCCCGTGGAAGCCACCACCACCATGCCACCTTCCCCGCCCTTTGAGGAAGGAGTCGTTCGTCGAGTTGGGACCGTCCACTTTCGAGCCCACATTCCGAGTGGAGAGGACATGGATGGGCTAGGATAGCTTTGGCGACGTTCCATCCCGTATTCGATTTCTTGCTTCAAATAGGGGCCATCCTCCCCTCCAACCGCACTTCCGCCATAGGTCGTGCCTTGTATCATGACCCTGACGGCCTCTTTTACACCATCTTGACAGCCAACCCTCGCTTGTCTCCGTAATATCAGGCGTGGGCTGCTCAGGAGCTGGCCAACATTTCTCTCAACGCCGCACCCAAATGGGACACCCCGCGTGCCCTCATCGTCCCTCTCCTGGAAAACACCCCGAGGCACACACGGAGGCTCCGCGGAGCCTGCGTATGGCATGGCTCCATCTCGAAAAGTCATCCCGCTCGACAAGGGCTGGGAGTTTAGGCAGGCGGACAAAAAGGATGCCGAGTTCCTGCCCGTCGCCCAGTTCCCGACCAACGTCCACCTCGATCTGCTAGCCCATGGCCTGATTCCCGACCCGTTTGTGGGTAAGAACGAGACGGACGTGCTGTGGATCGGCGAGGCCCAATGGACCTACCGAACCACCTTCTCTACCCCGGCCCCGCCGTCGGGTAGCGACGGGGGTGCCCGCGCCGTGCTGGCGTTTGACGGCCTCGACACCTTCGCCACGGTCCTGCTCAACGGCGCCAAGATCCTCGAGACGGACAACATGTTCGTGCCCGAGCGGGTCGACGTGACGGGCGCGCTCCGGGAGGGCGGCGGCGACAACGAGCTGGTCATCCACTTCGACAGCGCCTACCTCAGGGGCTGGAAGCTGGTCGAGAAGTACCCCGACCACAAGTGGGGCTGCTGGAACGGCGGCAACTCGCGCCTGGCCGTGAGGAAGGCCCAGTACCACTGGGGCTGGGACTGGGGCCCGGCCCTGCTCACCTGCGGGCCCTGGCGGCCCATCGCGCTCGAGTTGTACGCCGGCCGTGTGGCGGATCTGCACGTCGACGTTGACGTGCCCGAGAGCCTCGACTCGGCCACGGCCGTCGCGCACGCAGTCGTCGAGGGAGCGGGAGATAAGGTCCGGTTCGAAATCTCGCTGCGCGGGTCTGTCGTCGCCGCCGAGACTGTTCAAGCCGTGCCCGTGGACTCCAAGGCTGTGTCCGGGGCGGCCTCGGCCACTTTCCACATCCAGAAGCCCGCGCTCTGGTACCCCATACGCTACGGCGAGCAGCCGCTGTACACGGTTAAAGCAATACTTTTGGTGAGTGACGACGAAACCTCGGCAGCAGCCGAAATCGACACAGCCTCGAAACGCATCGGGCTTCGCCGGGCCGAGTTGGTGCAGCAGTCGCTCACGGACCAGCCGGGCACGTCGTTTTTCTTCCGTGTCAACAACGTGCCGGTCTTCTGTGGTGGCTCCAACTGGATCCCCGCCGATAGCTTCATCCCGCGAGTCTCGACCAACCGCTACCGTGACTGGGTGAAACTGGTGGCCGATGGCAACCAGTTCATGATTCGGGTCTGGGGCGGGGGCATCTACGAGGAGCAGGCCCTGTACGACGCCTGCGACGAGCTCGGCGTGCTGGTCTGGCAGGACTTCCTGTTTGGCTGCGGCAACTACCCGACGTGGCCAGAGCTGCTGGACTCTATCAGGCGTGAGGCCAACGAGAACGTCAAGCTGCTACGGCACCACCCCAGTATCGTCATCTGGGCGGGCAACAACGAGGACTACTCCTATGCCGAGTCGGTAAAGCTCACATACAATTACGCGGACAAGGACCCGGAGAACTGGCTCAAGACGGACTTCCCGGCTCGATACATCTACGAGAAGCTGCTGCCCGACGTGTGCGCGGACCTGGTTCCAAGGACGTACTACCACCCAGGCTCGCCGTGGGGCGGTGGCGTCGAATCGAGCGACCCAACTGTGGGCGACCTCCACCAGTGGAACGTATGGCACGGCAAGCAGGAGAAGTACCAAAACTATGACAAGCTCGTGGGACGGTTCGTGTCTGAGTTCGGCATGGAGGCCTTTCCATCGGTGCGCACCATCGACCAATACCTGCCTCTAGGCAAGCTCGACCCGGACCGGTACCCGCAGTCGAGCATGATAGACTTCCACAACAAGGCCGACGGCCATGAGCGGCGCATCGCACTATACCTAGTCGAGAACATGCGGTACGGGCCGGACCCGCTCGAGCACTTTGTGTACTCGACACAGCTGATGCAAGCCGAGTGTCTCAGCTCGGCATATCGGCTGTGGAAGCGACAGTGGAAGGGCCCCGGGCGGGAGTACTGCAGCGGGGCGCTGGTGTGGCAGATCAATGACTGTTGGCCGGTCACGTCGTGGGCCATCGCCGACTACTACCTGCGGCCCAAAATGGCCTACTTTGCCGTCAAGCGCGAGATGGCCCCGCTGACGGTCGGCATCACGAGGCGCGAGGACAAGACGGCGCGGGACGAGCACACGCGCGTGTACGTGAAAAGGGTCATCAAGGTCGAGGCGTGGGCCTGCAGCTTGAAACTGGAAGAAGTCACGGTCGACGTGCTGCTCCGGGCGTGGAACGTGGAGACGGGTGAGCAGACTTACGAGGAAAAGGTTGCCGAGGGCCTGGTTCTGCAGGGCAATAGGTCAACCGAGCTCCTTTCACGCGAGGTGCCGTTGAAGAGCAAGGACGGATCCAGCACGGACAACAACGACAATCTGGAAGAGGCAGGTCGCACAGTGGTGGCCGTCTACCTGGTGGACGCGGCGACGGGGGAGCAGCTAGCGCGGTACGTCAACTGGCCTGAGCCGCTCAAGTACCTTCACCTGCAGAAGCCCAAGGAGCTGGCGGCACGGCTGGTGAGCGGAGGAACTGCAGTGGAAATTAGCGCTGAGGTGCCAGTCAAGGGGGTGGCACTCGAGAGTGAGGACGACGGGGTCAAGTTTGAGGACAACCTGATCGATATTGTGCCGGGCGAAGTTGTCAAGGTCGGAGTCAGGGGGGCAGACGAGGGGACGGTGGTGACGACGCGGTATCTTGGTATGCTGGACTAGCTTGGGCTGTGCCTACGCCTACATGATAGGGCGCCGGGGATGTCGGGGCTCGGAGTTAAGAAAGCTAATCGCTGGGATCTGATTATGCCGATGGATCGGGCTTCCATAGGTCATAGGTGGACACACACACTTATCTCAACCATCGCCCCTAACAGGTGGGGGCGACAAACGTGTGGGAAGCTGTTAGTCAGCCAAGCTTCGGGCTGTGTCCCATGGCCGCGCTAGCTTTGCGGGGTTAGCGAATCCGACCAATCGGCACCGAGTCGAGGGAATGACATAGTGCATTGACGCAGTCGTAGTGCGGGCCTGCTCTTTTTTTCTCGATTCGCACCCGCCGCCGCGGAGTTCCAGTAAAAGTCCCAGTGAATGCAAATCCCGTCCCGCCTCAGCTCGCAATTCTTATTTGCTCATTGTGATTGCATCACAACCCCAAACCCATCCCCTCGGTCGCCCTTCCCCATTCTTCCATACCTACTACCTACCATATCTACCCAGACCTCCCCACCACTCCCACCACGATCCCATAACAAAAGAGCAAAAGAGTAAACTCGCCTCAGCAATTACGCATCCCATCAGCCCTCCAAATCCGAAATGCAGCCCCTAAGAACCGCCCTGCGCGCCGCTGGCAGGACAGCACTGAGGCCGACGCCCCTGCGCCGCGCTCCCATCGCTGCCCTGCAGCTCCAGACCCGATCCTACCACGAGAAAGATGAGTGCACCTGAAGGAGGAGACGGGCCAAGAAAATGGGTGCAAGCCGAGCTAACATGGACTGTCGCCAGCTTCACTGATCGACCACTACACGAGGCCCCGGAACCCCGGGTCGCTGGACCGCAAGGACCCCATGGTCGGCACCGGCCTGGTGGGCGCCCCCGCCTGCGGCGACGTGATGAAGTTGCAGATCAGGGTGGACAACGGCACCATCACCGACGCCAAGTTCAAGACTTTTGGCTGCGGGTCCGCCATTGCGAGCTCGAGCTACCTGACGGAGCTGGTCAAGGGCATGAGCATGTAAGAGAGTCGTCGCCGTCCTTTTCGTGACCGTGCCAAAGTCGCAGTGACAGAAGCTGACCGAACGCCGCACACACAGAGAGGACGCCGGCAAGATCCGGAATACCGACATCGCCAACAACCTTCACCTGCCCCCTGTCAAGCGTAAGTCTCTGGAGGAGCCTTTTTCCCACAGAGCTACCCGGCGCTGACACTCTTTCTTGCACACAGTTCACTGCTCCATGCTCGCGGAGGATGCCATCCGCGCCGCCATAGCCGACTACCACACCAAGAACCCGCCCACGAACCTGGCAGCGACCGAGGCCAAGACGCTGGACAACTAGACCGGTCAACCAGATTTCCGCACTAGGTAAAGCTAACACGGGATCAAGAACATCAAAAAAAAAAACACGGACAAAAATAAAAATTCAAAGAAAAAAGATGGATGCCATGTTACTTTGGAATAAAAGTACATAAATACCCCGGAGAGATATAGGAATCAGGCGAGTCTGTTGGGAACAAGGTTCAGTGGAAGGGTGTCGAGTTTTCGCATTCAGGCATTGGTATTTGGCGGCAGGAATCGACGGCGAGTCAAGGCAGCAGGACAGTGTGCACTGGCGCGGTTCAAGCAAGGCACAAATTGGAATCACAAGACTCACCTATCTCCGCTCTACGATGTATCTATCTAATACGACAGCAGCAACGAATGTAGCTGCAA